TGGATTAGTTTTTCTAGATCATGCTGAGACATTAGTCCTTTAATCCTTGAAATGTTGTTCAGATGATAGAAAGCAGACCTTGTAATTGTCTTTAAATGCTTTTGGAGGTTCAGGTCTGAATCCAGTACTACACCTAGATTAGGGGCCTGATCAGTGGTTACTAGCTGAAGCGATTGAAGCTGTGTGCTAACTTTAGATCTCTCCTCTATTGATCCAAAGATTATTACTTCAGTTTGGTTTTTATTCAGTTGAAGAAAATTATGGCGCATCCAGGCATTGATTTCTTCTAAGCATTTCCTCAGCGGTAAAAAATGCAATAAAGATTACCGTGAAATTAGTGTATTTTTTCGTAATGTTCTAATTTATAGAGATGCTGTGCATGTGAATATGTCCTTATGTTGGGAGACGTAAGGGAGATGAAACCTAACAATAGGCTTGTTTAACAGTTCAGAGCCTGTAGGGCAGCTTAGTCAGAGGAAGTTAAGCCACAGCCTGATCCTCTGTAGACTCAGAGAGAGGTTTGTTTTTCAGTGAACCTCAAATGAACCCAATAAGATGAACTAACTTTAAAGAGCTGATTTGTTAAACATCTATTAATATCTGCTTTTTTTTCATCATAATTGTGGTGAGAAAAACAAATCCACAGATTCTATAGAATCAATATTATAATACCAATGTAAGCTTTAAAATAAAGGATTATAATTATAGTGATAAAATAGATTGTGAACATTTAGCCAAGTAAAAAAACTGATAAAAGATGTATTAAAACTGTGATTGTCCTCGGCTCTCCTCCCACGAGACCGGCAGAGGATTTATCACCAACACAACCAAGGACACAGAAGATGGGAGCTTGAGCAAAGTCGCAAATCAAAGCTAAAAAAATTTCATATTCATCCTTGGCATTTTCAGGTATTGCGCGTGAACAAATGGAAACTCCTTCTAAACTATCACATGACTCCTGGGTTATTCATAAAATTCTTCCAGCCTTCCCAAAACACAGACAAGGCCAGAAGAAGCAGAGGGAAGCCGTGTTTAGCATTATTTCCACTGTGGGTAACATAAAGGTTTAGAAAGTATCCAGAGAAAGGGAAAGTGGGATCCTTTTCCAGTGCTAAACTATGTGCTATTTGTTTTTAATTTTTATTTTTTATTTTTTTTTACGCATAGACCATTTAATTAGTGTAAAAAAACTTACTACATTCAACAATATGCTGAGCCTTTCTAGAAAAACACATTACACCAATTAATTTAAAAAGTTGAGTTCGTCTGCAGTGTTTTATAACTAGGAGTAAATTCTAATACATGTTACTGAGTTTGAATCTGTCAGTTTGACTCTGCCATCAAATTCCTTTATTCATGACAGTACTGATTTTAATTCAATTCAGTTTATTTCCAATTTACAACACTTTTTACCTCAAGACACTTTCCAGTTCACCAGATCATCCAGTCAAATTGATTCAAAGTTTTCTATCTCAGGAAAACAAATTGATTGCATCGATCATTGACTCTTCAGCAATCCCTCACACTAGGCACGCTTGTAGCGACAGTGGAGAGGAAAAACTCCCTTTTAACAGGAAGAAACCTCCAGCAGAAGTGTGAGCGGCCATCTGCTGAGGCCCACTGGGGTTCAAGGAGACAGAAACAGACATAGAAAAAGCAACTATACATGGCGGCCCCGTCCAGAAAACACACAGCCAGGCAGACGAGCTCCCTGCCAGCTCCCATGTCTGTCATGAAGTGGTGTTGGGTTGAGGACCCAAAAGCAGAGGCAAGTTGGCAGAGGTGAATTTTGGAGACATCAGGGGAAACCAAACTCTAGGAGCCAGGGAGAGACGAGGTAAACAGACAGACGTTTTGACCAGGATCCAGCAAACAGGAACTGAAGAGGGAGGGCTTTTAAAGG